CGCACGGTGAGAAAGAAAAGAGGTGGGARTGGGAAATCATTTTTGAGACACAATCTCATCCTCATCCTTCACAGTCTAACAGCACAAGGCCCCCAAACCAATGTGTACTGGAGGGAGCTGGACAGAACTGACTACATCTATATTTCATGTATGTGCAAGGCGAACTGTAAGAGAAGTAGTTTTTTTCCAGCTCCATCCTCCAGAAGGTCCAACCCTAATGATGCTGCTGATATAATTGTCTCACCCTATTTGATGTTTTCAAGAAGGCTGAGCAATGATGACTTACTACACAGAMAAGCAAATGTGTTTATGAAAAACAAATCAATACATGACTTACTGACACTCAGTTTCACATATTTCATTTGTAAGTTGCTCACTGTAGATTTTATTCGCCTTTTTATAAAATCCCTCAGCTTCATAGAAAATCAATTTTCTGTCATTTAAATGCTGTCTTATAGCTCAGCATGGCCTCAATTTATTTTTGTAGTGTTCCTATTAATAGGGATGTGTATTAGAATTATCTTTAGAAATGTATGCCGTGCTCTTTTTTTTTTGAGATTGTTAAAGAAGTTTGAGGAAATTATAGTTAAAGTGAGTGCTATAAATTTTAAATTTATGTAATTTATGTGTCCAGGGTGACATATGAATCATAGGTGCCTGTATAACATAAAACTCCAATTAAAATAAACAAAAATTAACTTGTCAAATTTGCCATGCATACCAGAAATTATTTTGAGTAATAAAAACAGACTTTAAGTCAACTTTTTCCATTCTTTTTCTTTTCTGAAATAAATGCTTCTTAGTGAACTAAAATTTATCATAGATAGTTATGCATTTCAAAAGAGACTACTGGGAATAAGAGATGAAAATTACTGATAATCTTGTATGGAAATAATCCAAAGGAATGACATGCAAAAGAAAAAAGAGTTTTGTGGATTTCTAGCAAATGAGTCATGGTACTACAAATGCTCACAAAAGAGCAAAGTGACAATGCAGGCCTGGAAAAGCCAAGTCAAATGACAGTAGTGCAACACTAGTTAAATGGGTATGGCAGAAACCCTATATTTGTTGATATTGAAAATCAATCATTTAAGTTCTGAGCATATCACGTATAATAATTTTCAGTAATTTTGGTTTCCTTCCCTGTATGCCCAGATATTAGAATCAGAGGGTCACCTGTTTCATTTGTTGGATGCTCCAGTTATAATTTCTGACTGGCTTTAGCCTCTCTAACTCTCCAGAACACAGATGCTTTTCYTGATTTCACTTACAGAGTTTAGGACAGTCTGGAAAGAAGGGCATGGTGGAAGAGAGGTGTTACTAGATGAAAGACYTCATGTCCAGTTTGGAATTGAAAATAAATATTTACGTAGGCCCAACAAAAGGAAGGAGGCTGAGAGATATAGTCTTGAAACAAACAAATATTTGCCTAGATCCTTCAATTAAACCTGAGCCTACTAAATCAAGTTATAAAAAAAAATTATATTGCATATTGTATATTGTGTTAATAAGCTAGATAACATTGACGAATTAAAAATATTTACTTTCATTTCTTCCTGGATTTAAAATGATTATTATATATAAAGCAAGGAATAGAACTTGGGTGCTAACTTCCCTGATTTCCTAATTTTTAACAGCTTAACAGTAAAATTAGTATGTAAAGTMAGCTCCTGCAGAAAAATGCAAGTGCAAAGAGGATGAATGAACTGTCCATCCTCCATTCATCCTTGGTCAAATGTGTAAAACCAAAAGAAAACGCAAGAATTATTCAACACATAATCATTGTGTTACGTTAGGGTCCCAACTCCAAGCATATGTGGCTATTAAGGGGAAGAATTTTGCAAATGGATTGTTTTGCACCATAAAAGAGAAATTGTGAAATTTGACTGAACACAGGAATGGAACAAAGCAAAAGCAACTATACTATTAAATGTAACAGAGAAAACTGCCTTATTCTTCAACAGCATCTGGACATCTTTGGAATAGTCCAGAAGTATCTATGGAAATACCTAGCAGTGTTCCAAAATTATTTTCAGTCTGGACAAATGGCAAATAAATATGCTCATTTAAAGGCTATACTTAGAAGTCCCTAATTTCCTAGKAAAAGTACAAAGATAAGTACTAGCTATTGCTTATAAAAATGGCTGGCTATTGCAATGATCAAATCTYAAAATGCAAACTGATTTTGTGATAAACATGTGAATGAAGAATGAGGGAGTTCAAACGAGAATGCTCTGGTAGCCCATGATAAGTTGACCAAGACCTATAGGAAGAGAAAGCAAGCAAGCTTTGCTCTAAATGTCGAGCATCAATGAGTAGGGCTGTTAGGTAGATCCTTAAGTGTTAYATATGCATATGAAAATCTTAAGGAAATGCATTAAATAGTACAAAAGAAAATGCACAAATACAAACATGAGATGAATGTAAAATGTGAAGCATGATTTCCAGTTCTGAAAGGTCAAAAATTCTCTCAAACCTTTCATATGGAGAAGTATATTGTCAAACTTTTCATAAGGAATATTTAGTAAGAGAGGAGGTAGTTGCCTCACCACTGCATGGGTAGTAACAATCAGACATTGACACAGACATGGGCAGCCAACTCTGCCCTTTGGACAGTGGAAGACGGTAAGTGTAGTCAAGATGAGCTTGAAACTATCAGTGTAACAAGCCAGTGCATGCCAGTGGGCAGATGGGAGACACCTTGGAAGAAGCAGGGAAAAGTGGCATCACAGACCCTCAAACAGTTAGAAAGAGTGTAGTAAACACATCTAGAATTGGATAAATAYGAAATACAAATTATTTGTGGAAATACTGGAATACTGACTCTGGAAAGGCACAATGCTTAGAACACCTAGATAAAACTAGTAAATCAATTCAGATATATAATAACAAATCTCRAGGTAAATGACAAAGCATTTTCCATAGTGCTCAGATATTTGCAGCTTTGAGGCATGGATTGACCAAAGGCTCAAATGACCACATTTTTTTCAACAAGGTGCAGATATGTCAGAGAACTGGTATCTATCCTAAAATTTATAACAGGAATGCAAAGATAAAGAGAACAAGGAYGGCACAGGACAAGAGTTGAGACACCTTTCCATGAGAGCAACAGCCTCCGTTTCTTTGCCTCGGTGACACTAACATGGAGAGCACAAAGATAAACTCAAATTGAAAGAAATGCCTTGTAATGAGTATGAAAAGTTCAAGCAGCTCTTTCAGGAGAAGGAAACCATTCAAGTAAAACATGTCTATAAATCACCCMAAAGCATTTCTTAAAAGCCACTGCAAAATGCTTCCAGCCCACACTCTGAAAGAGCAGAACTATTATTTTAGACATATGCTACAAGAAAAGGACTGCAATTACTGACAACTTATCCAGGAAAATTGTATCATTATGAGAAAGACAAGTGAATAAGGATAAGAAATCGTAACCCTTGCAGAAATATAAAAACTGAGAACACTGAAACCATCGGACAACGAGTTTAYATACTCTTTTAAGAAAAGATAAAATCAGATAAAATCTGCAAGCCAAATGTTTACAAATATTCATTGTGGTTTTCTTTCAGGCTATCCAAGGGCACATCATAAACATGGACAGTCAAATCACAGCTTCAGAATTCTGAAAAAAGACATTCTCCCTGTTGCAATACACACCTGTAGATCTGTATCTGGAAATTTTAGGCAGGGTATATTGGAAAACAGCATTGAAGATTTGCAAGATTTGGTGAGCAGATGTGATACACTTAGGAGTAAACCAGGCCAGCAGCAAAATAAAAACTAAAAATGTACATAATTCCTCACAAATCTTCGACTGCAAATCTCATCATCACAAACCACTCATTACTGTAGAAAATCTTTTGGCTGCTTCAGTAATAGATGAAGCAATAAGCTGCTTAATTGCGTTTGTTATCACAAAGTATCATTTCAGGCAATGGCATTTCAGACACTGCCATTTCAGACAATGGCAGTGAATGGCTAATAATGTAAGAATAAACATTCAGGGTCAGGGTCAGACTAAATGTTAATCTATCTCCTACTCCTGTAATGTCAATGAGGAATGCCTAAAAAGGGGGAAGATAGGAGGTCAAGCTCAGTGTTACATTCACAGGATATCCCTTCACCYTAGCAATATATGACAAAGAACTTCCTAAACTAGAAGTCCTGGGTTTGTTTATTAACCTCTGGAGAATTTCTTTTTCCATTCATTTTCCTCTATAACTGGAAGATTCAATTTTTGCTGATTCAATGAAAACTTTGCAGCAGTAATAGTTCAAAGAGTTTGTTGTCTTTTCCTTTTCTCCATCTTTTAAAAGCTCTTTTAGTCATTTAGTGTCTTCTCTGGTCATTCCTTTTARTCTCATGTGAAACTTGTACATTCATACCTTTCTTGAAGCATACTGCTCAAAACTGACACCTAATTTCATTTTTGAATTTACTGTCATGGCACAGAGCATATTAACCCACATTTAACCCCCAGGTAAAATGTACATTTTACAGAAACTCAAAATAGCACAGGTGCAGGGCAGCTGGAATCTTACTGGCAATGACATTTTTTTTCTCCAAGAGCAAGAGTATATTTCTTTTCCTCCTATGCCTAAGCATTACGGGGATGCTATCCAAAGAAGGGCTCATCACCCTGAAAAGTTATGACTCTGTTATATGTTATATGGAAAGTTATGGCTCAGTTATGACTCTGGTCTCCATTTGCTTAATATGAAGAAAATAGTTTCTTCAAAATGCAAAGTACCAACAGCATTGTAAAGAAATTATATAATTATTTGCAAGACTGTTATACGCTGTCTGTTATATAAGTCATGGGCACCCTGTTATTTAAAACATAATGCTTAGATGTCAACATAATAAGCAGCTAAGAATTAGCTAGTATGAAAAGCGGAACACCTGGTACTTCAGTGAAGAGTGATAAACTAACGAGTCACGGGTGTCCTTCACAAAATACCTTAAGTCTGTTAGCCAGGCCTATTTGATTCCAATTCCAGTTTTTCTTACTAGGTCTAACTGTGGACAGAAGGAAGGCTTGCACCTTCACCTTAGAGCATTTTCCATCTATATAATGTGTAAGTGGGTTTGCTGGGATCATCTGACTCGTATTTGTATCAGCCAGAGTTGCAATTAGCCTCAGAGCATGGGTCATCTTCTTCTGCAGAAAAGCAGAATGCAGCATGCACAGCCCTGGCTGATACCTTGAGTTCTTTGGGAAGGACCAAGATGCTTCTCAGATCCTTTTGTAATGGACTCTTCAAAGTTTTGGAAGTGGACTTGAGCTGGGTTCTTCTAATGATAAAAGGTAAAAATCTGATCCCTGTCTTTTCCTATTTGCCCTGTTTGAGGGTCATAAAGAGTTCCAGGATGGCTTAGGAATATCTGTAGCAGCACAGAATGCTGAAATGCTCAGGTTTCTGCTTCTTCCTATAGTCCTTGGACTTGTCCTGCTTCGCTCTAGGAGTTGGTAAAAAAATTCTGGGAGGTGAAAGAAAATATTGCACAAAGCTCCCCCAGCCTTGTCCTGAGTCYTCAGGGAGCCAGAGAATCTGGCTTTTATTGGCATTTTTTTTCATGCCTTGAATATCTCTCCTACAAACTTCACCCCAGGCTTTCAGACTGCTGTTTGGAGCTGCTCTGCTCCCACCTCCTCACCCCAACAGGATTCTGCAAGATATCACAGGYTGCAGCCCCCGTGGACCCATTTGTGCTGGCTCTCTCCCCGCTCAGCATGCAGCTAGAAAGCAACAGCTGATTCAAAAATAAGAGCAGCACCACTCGGGGCTGCCTAATTGGCACTCGCTGCCAGCGGTTAAACAGGTCGCTCCCAGGATCTGGATCGTGGCCAACCTGAGATGCYGGGATTCAGCGCCAAAACCTTCCCACAGGCCATGTGGACTCTGGCGCTGAGCAGTGAACTGGCTTGGGCACGTTAGAAATGATCAGATGTCTGCAATGCAGAAGGAAATGCAATGCAATGCAGTTTCTGAAGATCCTCRTCAAAAGAACCTGAAGCACTTTCAATGTTTAATGGCTTTTGACAACTCTGTCTTAGTTCCTATTGCATTAAGGCTGCAGAAACATGAATACTTCCCCCATTTGTTTTTCTGTCTTTGTAGTTTTTGTGAAAACATTAGTATCTCTTAGCAATTAAAAAGAACCCTACATTTTAATATTTTTTGAACCTGTTTAATTTTTCATAAAGGAGTATATATATGTTTATATCTTCCCTTGAAATACTATTGTAATAAATAAGCATAAAAACGCTCAATGAATACAGGAATACCCACAAATAAATGAGAACTAAGTTCTTGCAGTGTTCCTGGACTAGTGAATGCACGTCTCACTTGTAGCTCTTACCTACCACACTTGATAAAAATACTTCTATAGATAAACTGGAGATGACAGAAAGGAATCTTTTTTATGATACATTGTCTATGAATAAAGTAACATATATTGGATTCCTGAACAAAGTGTTTTTGCATTTCCAAAAAAAAAAAAAAAAATGTATTTTTGAATTTTGGAAGCTTCTAGCATTTATATTTCTTACAGCTAAATCACTTTATTGAGGAGTGTGTGATGCACATTCATGATAATATTAATGCAGTATTTTTTTTTTTCCATTTTTCTAAGAGGTCTACCTCTGGTTCTTCCAGTGTTGTTGTTCAATATAACTGAATTCAGGTCCTGTTCTTTCAGGACCTAGCAGAAACCGAGGAACATAGCTTTTGGTAAGCAAGCGTTTTCTACAGAAAAATTCTACTGTACTGTCAAAGGTGACCAGGGAAACTCCTACAGCCATGATGATGTGGAATACCTACGAACAGCTGCATGCAGTTAAGCAGCACAAGTGCATGGAGGCTTTTTCATTTATTCAGGAAATTCAATGGGTTCCATTTCATTCACTGGTCGTTTGAGAATGCAAAATAATTTGGGAATTGGACTAGATGACCTCTGAGGTCCCTTCCAACCTCATTCTATCATTATATGATTCTTACTTATTTTCCTTGATGCACTCAATTGATAAAATAAAAACAACTAAAATGGCATGTGTATGGTCTGTAAGTCCTTTCAAATATTGTGCTAATGTAGCTATATAAAAAAAATAAAGGTAGAGAAGTTTGTTTCTTCTCCAACTTCTGCTCTGTCTAAGCTCCTAGTCCATCTCAAAGCTGCCTATTTCCATTTTTCATTTCCTGGGAGCTCATGGAAGTCTGACAAGTGGCCTGCAGCTCCATAGGAAAGGGACAGAGATGCTACTGGGGAGAGAGTGGCTCACCTGGAACTGGCTGGTGATTCAGGAAAAGGAAAGTGTCCCAAAACYGAATTCAGTGTCCTTGCCTGCTGATTAACTGATTCAAAGCAGTGACTTCCTCTTTTACATCCCTGCTGCTTCCCACCTTCCTGCAAAACCTCTGGTCACTTTATGGCTCATTTGTCTTGAACTTTGTGGCCGTTTTTTTCTCTCGTTTAGTTTTTGCACATATTTGACAACTTCCTGTATAAAAGTGCCTGTGACTTCTTTTTAAATCTCTGGTATCATGCAAAAGATTCTCTGTCCTATTTATAGTTGAATCCAAAGACCCACTCCCAGATCACATAATGGTGTTGGAGTAATTCCCCAGTGGCTTTTCACCCTTCCTCTAAGCCTGGCCACATGTTTGCTGTTAGACTTAAAACTTCTCAGGAGAAGGATCCTCYTTTCCTGAATATCTGGGAAATGTTTATCGTGTCAGAATCTCATAACCTAACAACAGGCAGCTATGTCAAGGCCTCTGTGTGGCTGGCCACCTGTGAGGCTTTTGTAGAGACATCTGCAGGGATGCAGAGTCCCTGCCAGGGTTTCAGGACAACTTCTTTGATTTTAAAGCAGGGATGGAAAGAAGAGAGGGGAGGCAAGCTCACATTAAAAAAAAAAGAAAAAAGAAAAAAAAAACCTCCCTAAAATATATTCAAGACATTGGATTTACTAATTGAAGGCTATTTGTATTGGATTGGGCAATCATGGACCAATAAAATAAAGACACAGGAGTGGGTTAATAACTCAAAGCAGAAAATATAATAACTATGTGATCTATAAAAATTCCCACAGTAGAAATATGGCTAGCATCTACTCTGCCTGGGACCTTTTATTAGCGATTTCTATTAGGGAATAACTAGGTAATCTGACACTGCTGTTCTAAACAAGGACATTTGTATTAGCATCAACTTCATACTCAGTTAGGATACTTACTCAAACAGTAGAATAAATAGCCCAGTCTAGAATATTTAAGTATTTAAGTATTTATATTCAGTGAAGCTTCCTGCCCAGGCTGTGCAATGAGAAGTATTTCCAGAGAGTGATTCCCCCGAATAGGCTCTAAGGAGCCTCAATGCTATCGCATCAATGGATGCTATGTTTCTGGTGGGATGTCTCTGCTAAACTGGTCTTGTTTGGCCCTATGTGCCTAGTCATTATCAGTTACCATAATTAAAAATACAAATATCACTCATGAATTCCCTTCATATTCATAAATATCCACATATAAATAGTAAATATCCAGTATATTTTTAATATAGCAATTGCAGTGATATAGAGCCTTGTACAGCTAGTCTAAATTCCACTATATCAGTTGCTTCTCTTTCAGATTAAATTATTTGCCCCTTAACATCAACTGATAAGCGTCCATAGTGCAGAGAGCAGTTACATTCTTCTATATCCAAATCTTAGTATACATTATCAGAGTTTCTCTAAGCTTTGACAAAACCAAAAAAAAAAACAAAATCAAAACCAAAAAAACCAACAAAAGCAAAAACAAAAGATCACCTTTTAATGTGCTTTTGCAAGAACTAGGCTCAAAAAAAATGCTCTCAGCAATTAGTTGATGTAAATTTTCAGTTTCAGTTTCAGTTTCAGTAAATTTTCTATCTGTTCAGCACAGCTTTTGTGAATAACGCTCTAAAGCTTCTGACAGGAACATATTCCTGTTTGGATTAGTTCACCTATTTGGGTGAACTAGCATCCAAAGAGATTCCAGGCTAAGCCTTCACAGGCAGTCTGTAAGAGTTAAATATTGGCTGTGGGTTAGACATGTCAGAATATAACAGCCACTCATTAATAGTTAAGTTACTCGTGTAACTCCATAAGCAGCAAGAGAAACTAAATTATCATAACATATTTCTTGAAAAATATTTTCTCAACTCTTCTCTTACATTTGCTTGCGCTATTTTTTTTTTTTTATTCCTACTGGAAACAGAAGATAAAAGACGTTCTCTGCACTTTGTAACTAGCACAGGTCACTGGTTTATTTAATAGGAAATTACAGGGTGGGGTAGGTTTAGAGCAGCTGTATCAGTGATTCTACAGTAAGTACGATAAGTACAATACTTGGGGCTTCTAAAGCAATCCATCTTGATATCTCCATCAGACTGTATTTAAAATGATCAATTATTGATTATAAATTATCACTGCGGCAGGGTTTTTTGTTTTTTTTTTTGTTTTGTGTTTTTTATTTTGTGTATTTATTTATTATTTTGTGTATTTTTTCTGGGTTTTTTTTTGTTGGGTATAACACAACAGGTTGTTTTGACCGTATGTACATACTCATTTCAGTGCCAGTGTCAGTCATATTTTAAACAGTTTTATTGCCTTTTCTTATAGACATTTCTTATATTATTGCAAATAGGCAAAGCTGCAATTGCCYGTCTTGGACATCTATCAGCTAACAGTCAGTGTCTAGTGGAGGTCTTAGTTACCACCATGAAGGAAGTCTTATCACTGTCTATAGCATTCAAAAAGCACAGCTGACTCTCAGTTCTGTCCTGACTTAGGTGCAATTGCTAAGTGACTAAAACAGAAAGGTGAAAGATATCAGAAGCTAAACCCTATATTTATGTCTGTATGTATATGCAGCTTTTCTACATGCAACAGTTCTGTTCATATATTTACAGCAAGAGTTTTGACCATTTAAGCTTCCTGACCTTGTGAGGTGGTAGAGTCCACCTTTAGCAGAATCCTTGATATTCTTATTCCTTCTAATGAGTGACCTTCAAAGAACAGAGAAATTGTAGCAAGGTTTCCAAGATGTATTAAATTTATCAGGCAGACACCTAAAAGAAGAATCCAGCATTTCTAGTTATTCCCAAATTATTGAAGTTCAAAGGTTTTAATACTGCTTTCAGGGACACTGGATTCTCCATCTAACTCACCCAGAAAAACATTTCAGGAGCCAAATATCTGATGAGGTTGTCATGAGCAAGAATAACATTTGAACTGTGTAAACCTAAGGTACTGGGAGAAGAATCTGCACAGGTTTGCTATTGAGGCTTGCACACAGCTGGTAAATCCCATCCCTCTGGTAATTAAAACAATTTAATTAGCCTCAACTAGAGCAACTCAGTTATTACACCAGTCCTTGACGAAGCCATTTCAGAGGGTTCTCCCTGCATGTTTACTTTAGCGTATTTCTGCTTAGAGGAGTATTTTTAAAGCATTTGAGGTCAGCTCCCTGTTCCTCCTCTCCTGCCTTTAAGGAATGCTGAGTAAGTTGCTCTTGTCTGCTGGAATGATATTATTATTGCCTTAGGTTACAGCAGCTATTATGTAAACTAACAGATCCCAGTTAGGCAACTCAGGCTCATATTTTAAACGTGGCATTTAGATCTAATGAAAGAGCAAAATAAATCTGCCAAAATGTCATTTTCATTAAAAATTCTGTCTAACCTCAGAACCCTGYCCTTGAGGAAATTGATGGGGCCGGAGAGGAAATATCAAGCTTTTAATCTCTAGGTCTGATGAGATGCTGATTGTGCCATCACCAAACTGCTGTTTGATAATCTCATTGCACCCTGCAATGGATGGTCAAACCCAAATCACTATGAAACTACTACTGATAGCCTCAGCATACAGATTAAAGAATTACATTCTCCTCCTAAATACTCAACCTACAAGGTTACAGTGCAGGTACATTAGCAAGGAACTGAGAAGAGTTTGGAAAATATTGTTCTGAGGATATAAAAGCTATTTTATTTTCTAAATTTTGTTACTTAGGTGCTTTCACTTACCACATAGCTACATTCATATGCACAAACTCAAAAACCTTTATTGATGCTTGTTTATGCATCTTGTTAACAAGAAATATAATCAAGCCCCAAGATTGCTTTGTTTCCCCATCTGTTTGTTTTCTGTCAAAGTTATAATGCCGAATATGAATTAATTGAATATACTGTGAGAAAAACATGGTTTCCCAAAAGCATTCCCTTCAGATTCTGTC